ATCAGAATACAATCAACGATTGAAAAATACGAGACTACATTTTAGAATTAATTCTTCTCTAACTCCACTAAGTTGGTATTTCAGTTCCGACAAACTGAATGCGAATGATTGAATGAGTGCAGCAGTCTGAACGAAGGTCGATGCACCTCCCCCGCTGTTCTCTTCGTGAACATTGTGCATGCTTGAGCATTGTGGTCGGGGAGTCGGCTGGAACGCGCAGCTCCTCCGGCAGCGGGAGCAGAAACAGGCGCTGCAACGTCGACGGCCGCCCGTCTCGACTGCCTGCGATGTTGACAGAAACAGCACGCACTGCGCCGCTCTCGGCCTCCGCCTCTTCCACCGCCTTTGCCCCGCTGGCACAGCCGTAGTCCCTGTTGCCGTCGGTGCTGCCATTACGATCCTCACAGCACCCGCTCAAGCCCCCGCACCCACTGTCGCCAACGCATTCCGCAGCGTCTCTGACGCTACAATCGCCCTCGGCCCAACCACGATGCGGACACCGACACAGACACCAACATGGTCGCCGACACGGACGCACACACGGACGCCGACACGGACGCCGGCACGGACACCGACACGGACGCCAACTCCGATACGAACACGGACACCGACACCGACTGCTTTAAAACCACCCCCTTCGTCCCTTCTCTGTCATTTGCACCAGCAACACCGTCACAGCCGTTGCTGCTGGTGTTGCAAACGCCACTGCCACATTTACGAGTACTTCCACCACTTACTACGTATTCCTTTCGGTTCACTTTTCCCCATTTTTGCTTATTCATTTGCTGAAGTGGGAGAGGCCGCAGTTGTGCGCTGCATTCGCACACTTTCTTTCTCGTGGCAACAGCGACACCGGATTCGAAGCAGGTGTATCCCTGTCTCATTGCAACACCTGCGAATCAATATTCACACCAGCATCACCATACTCATTAACTCAGGATATCACAGACAATATTTGATATAGGAAATGAGGAATTATTATCAAATAAATAAAAGTATGCATCTGAAAACAACGTATGGCAACATTCGGCGTGCTACGTACGTTCTTTGACACCGCCTCCACCATTCGATTCCCTTCAGTGTTATTACCACGAATTCCACACCTTTTCTGTCACCACCACTCTCACTTCTACCATTGTTCTTATTTCACCAATGTGTCTACCCCTCTACATTTTGGTGTTGCCGATCTACATGATTTCACTAAGTGGCACAAAGGTTATATCCGTCGCTTCTTTTTCTCTCTGTAGCCATATTTGGAGCGTCGGTACCTCTTCGATGTGCAAAACTTCAAACGCATTAGCTCAGCCGATATGACAAACTTTGTTCGTCCTCTGGAATATACTGACCCTCAAAAAACCGATTGTTCTTCCGTTGTTCTCGTCACGAACTTCGTCAGAGCCTTTCACAGTTCGCTGCATTTTACGAAAGTAAAAATCATACGCTTTGCCTGTAACAATGGAAATGGACATTTTCCCAAAATATATTAGGCATTTAATGTGTGCAACGAATATCAAAAAGTAGTCGGATGATTTAATTACTTTGTCATGTTCAAAGTTTCAACAATTTAAATTTGTAATGTCACTGTAAAGAAATATAATAAAATAAGCCCTTGAAAGTGAACGACAGTAATTTGCTGGAATGTAAGATGAGACAGAAAGCAAGAATTGTTGTGCTTTCCATACAACAACTCATACACTCATACGAAAAATTATTAACGTAATTATTACTAACATATTATTATTATTATTATTATTATTATTATTATTATTATTATTATTATCATCATCATTTTGATTTACTATTTCCTTCTTTCAAAATCTCCCAACGAGGACGATACGATGTCTTATTAATTTTTGATTTGAATCCCATCAGAAATCAGTTTTCGACTCTCCGAACACATAAACTTTACTCACGATAAACGTATACACTAATATTTCTCACATAAAAATTTATTAATTATGCATTTATCCCGCCGCAAATATATTGATTCACCAACTGAATAACTAAAATAGATAGTTTAGGTACCCATAAAATTGTTTTGACGTGTGCATGCAAATCGCACGCTCGAAAAGACTTTACTTAGAAAAAATCGGAACATTATCAAATAAAATTAATGACTTGTATATCTTCAGCAACTACTAGAGTACTGGCAAATGTTTAACCGTAGTTCCTGTCGACTTCTGCTGGCCGCAACGGTTCTCTAGTAGGTAAAGCATAAGATTTTTGTTTAAGCGACGTTTTGCAGTCGTTTCCTCCTCCGCTCCGGCGCGCCTTGAATCTGCCTTGGTCGCTACGCCGCGAGTTGCGTCTGAGGCTGGGCAGCGTCCGGAGATCCAGCAGACCCCTCCGCGCCCTTCTCCGACGCCTGCGATTGGCAAAGGTGGCGCAGAACAGCAACTGCTGTCACTGCAGTGCCTCTGACCGAGAGGTCCTAGCGTTGGCTACCGACGGTGGCAGGATTTTCGACACCTGCTAGACAGCTACGTCGAATTCAGCCGCCGTCTGGAGGAGATTTTTAACGGCCGGCTGCTATGATATACTATTAGCATGCCCTGTACGAAAAATATTAAAACAAAAAAATATTGCTATATATGGTGTCACTAAATCTCTATAACAAGTGCAATAAACAAGGTTTGCAAGTTTGAATCATTAGAATCACAATTTATTTTGAACACTTAATTTCTACTGAGTTAAACTTGTTTCTAAAAATGTAATTGAAATGTTTTATATGTACTAAGACCTTTGCAGTGGACGTCGCTATCGACCTTAACTTATAAATGTAATAAATCATTTACAAATCTAATCCCTGAATTTTGCTTGTAAAGGGCCACATGTGTCAGACGATTAATGTACATACATTATATACATTGACTAATGTTATTGACATATTACATTGACTAATGTTTGCATTTAAACCAGTCAATCACCGAACTTAACAAATATCCCGCTATCTTAGCTTTTACATGATGCAAGATGACCTCACACTCACGCGTTCGCTGGCGCAAATGGCGAAATGGCGACACTTTTGGATAGATCGATTGCAACTTTCAAATCATAACGACCACGATCTACTACAATTGTATTGCAGTTTGTCTTGAAAATTCCTTAATGAACAAAGAGAAAGAAGTCAATAAAATAAACATCAACATAATATCATTTTAAATCATTTTAATACATAATTAAAATTTAGTATTTTTATTATCACACCAGTTAATAAAAACTTGTTATAACTAATCTATGGTGCTAATTTTTTGATTTAAAGAAAACTAGGTTGAGTAAAAAGTTCATTTTCCTTTCTAAACGACAACCCTTATTGTTTTAAATGAATAACCTGTTTATACGTATAAAATAATATTAATTCAAGTAACCCATTGTTACTCAGATTTATTTCACAGCGTCATCAACTTAATATAAAAAATAATGAATTCCATCTGGTAAAATGGAAATTATTTCATTTATGTCCCGGCTGTCTTCCCCAGTCCGCCCCATCCTCCCTACTCCGTCCGGTTAGATCTCCCCGCCCCCTGACCGTCGTCACACTTCCCTGCGATCTATAATGTTCAGACGCTTTGTGGATTGGATTAAACCGAATTTTGTGAAACAAAAACACTAAATCCGAAGATTGAAATAATCTTATTTTTCACTATGTTCACTTTAAAGCAGTAACATTTATGTTTTTGTTGTAACTTAATTCAGTACAGTGTTCAAACGGATCCTTTCACAAATGACAGCTATCGTTATTGAAGTCATTGCCAGGTGGTCATAGGGATCGGCCACCACTCTCCCTCCACTTATGCAGTGGGTGAGGCTGCGGGTTCCGTAGATTTTTTGATTTTCTAAACCCGTGTTGTGAGACTGAAAACACTTCGTTTTTCCTGAGAAAAATATCGATTCGCGTATAGGAAAGTCTTTCTAATATTTTAGAGAAACCTGACAAAAGAGTTTCTACTTTGATTCAAAATAAAAGCAAAACGAGTTTCCTACGACTTTTTTGACATTCTATTTTGTGCTCTCCATACAATTGTGAAACAATTTTGAAGTTTCTTTATTAAAAATAAAAAGATTTGAATCTAATTTTCTCAAACACGCAAGACCTCAACCATTTATAATTATTATCAACATTTAGTTATTGAGATCAAAATACCAGAAATAAAACCTACGTACTTGCAAATATCAGCCTCTATTTTGCCCAGTCTTTTCTGTTTTTGCTCAGCATCTCTCACAACGAATGGTCATTTATTTCTGTCTGCTTGTTTTCTCCTCCAAATTCTCACACTCATCATACTCGTATCCACACCCACATTCACGAACCATTTCAGCCTTGATCTTGAATATCATAACATAAAATTACCTTTCGCTAAATTTAGTTGCGGGCCATAAGTGCCCGTGGGCGACCAGTTTGACGTCACTGACATAGTGAGTGGACCACATAAACGCACACAGACCGCCAGTGAAGAGTCCTTGTTTGCTCCTGTCGCTATGGGAATGGGAAGGCTGATAATATGATGCGACGGTAGCCGTCATTCCCAACAGAGATAACGCTTTAACAGGCTTCAAAAAGTCGTTTGAGCGTGGATACAAAGATAGTATCTCCCGCGGATCGATGCTTGTCACAGTGATGCGCTCTGATATGAGAACTTGTAACCATCTACTCTCAAAATGTGTGGAGTGATTTATCCGACGCCGGTCGTTTGGATCTTCCTCTTCACGATCTGAACAAGTACGCGCCAACTTACAGATATTTCTTTTGAGTGGCAGAATAAAGCGTGGTAATGAGTGTCAGAAGAATTTGTTGGCAAGTCCAGCAAACCAACTTTAGTCGCGATAATTAGAAGTAAAACTAAGAGAAAAAACAATCTATTTCGAGTAATCATGAGTCTAACGGCAATGGTACAGATGGCTGTCTCGGAATAAATATTACAAGCATCAAGAGCATAGAGAAGGGTAAAATAGGATCACTTTAACCAATGAACATGCAGTGGAAAATTTCTCATAATGGAGTTACACACGTGACATTTTCTACTGACTATGATTGATTGGTTGATTTATTTGTGATTCCAGGAGCCAACGGCTAAGGTCATTATTCCCGTAAATGTAGTGCATGTTTTAGAGGAAGGTGACAGTCATCTTCCCTGGCGAGATCCGGCGACGACCTATGTCGGTTTACGAGGATTTTTCCTTACAAGGTGTCTCCCACCAGCGAGACACAGCCCCAGCTGGACTCGAAACCTACGACCTTCCGGTCAAAGGCACTGCAGTGACATCATTTGTTGACCCGAGCTACCTCTTCCGGTTATCCCCTGATTCTTATTCACAGAAGCACGACAGGGCACGGTTTGACGTAATAAAGGACATTACCTGTAATTGCCGAACACCTGTGCTTTCGGGGTTGCCTAAGAATCATTGTCAAATTTCACATGTGTAAATGCTTATATCTTCTTTGCAATGACTTAGATTCCTATTAGACTGCAAGACGTATCTTACCCAAAATTTTATGAAAAGCAAAAACAGTTTTTATTAAACAAATTTAATTACTTTGTAATGTAATTAATATTATCCTTCGTCTGGCTTTCTAGATTTGGCATAATGTACACCTCACTTAATTGTGAACTTGCGCGTGAGAGAGAAAGAAGACTTTGGCTTTCGGAGCCTTCAACGCATGCGCAGTACGTGTGCCCGCGAGATATGCTGCTTTAATATAGACTGTCATATCCCGAAGG